GCTAGAGTAGCTAACATTTAATGCAATTTTTTCAGAATATATAAGGATTTTGCACTGTATTGTTAGTGGACATGAAACTTCTTTAAATACTAGTACGTTAACCACCAAAAACTAAAAATCGAAAAAAATTTACATACCGCACTTTGCAAGTGGACTACTCAATTCATTTATAAACAATATATCAAATAATAAAATAAAATGTCTATCATCCTTGGGCGTACAAAATTTTTAATTTTTAGTTCTTCGAAACAGAGTTGGCACACATTGCAACCATATACATACATTGCATATTTTAAATATTCAATATAGCAATGGACAATTTTTCTAAATTTTTCATTTTTAAAACACCAATGGTAACCAATAACAAACGAAGTGTTAACTTTGTTTCTGATGCGCTGATTGATACATTGTCAATATTTTGTAGTTCGGCGTTATGGAACATTATATTTTGTACGTATGCAAANATGGAACATTATACTTTGTACGTATGCAAAGCAATTGACGTTTTGGAAGTCAGCCTATTTAAACCCATAAAAAATCCTTGGTGTAAGCTGCCACTTAAGGCCATGCCAGATAAAACTTTGTGGTTTTGCGTGACATCTATAACTTTTCCAGCAAACCGCAAGACGCAAAAGGTATGCCACATCGAACGCCAAAGTCAATTTTGTACGGATTTGCTACTGATGAAAATTGCTGTGGATTTTATATATGTATTTAGTTTTAAAAATATCAGCAATGTAATTAAATGTTATGTTTCTGCAAGAAAACTCGAATATGAAAGAAACCAAATAAAAATTAAACTAGCTGATGGTCAAGGCACTCAAAAAGATGGGACATTATATTTTGTACGTATGCAAAGCAATTGACGTTTTGGAAGTCAGCCTATTTAAACCCATAAAAAATCATTGGTGTAAGCTGCCATTTAAGGCCATGCCAGATAAAACTTTGTGGTTTTGCGTGACATCTATAACTTTTCCAGCAAACCGCGAGACGCAAAAGGAATGCCACATCGAACGCCAAAGACAATTTTGTACGGATTTGCTACTGATGAAAATTGCTGTGGATTTTATATATGTATTTAGTTTTAAAAATATCAGCAATGTAATTAAATGTTATGTTTCTGCAAGAAAACTCGAATATGAAAGAAACCAAATAAAAATTAAACCAGCTGATGGTCAACGCACTCAAAAAGATGGGAGTTGGCCATCTTTTCGCTTTGCACTGCAGCTAAAATAAACTATGTGGCATGCTTTGTGCATTTTCATACATTTAATCTTATCTGTCAAAGCGAAGAAAGCGTTTTATCTGGCATAGCCTCTAATGATTTCGACGACAACGTGATGAAGACCTGAACTGGCCAAACAGGCTACAACTTATTTTACCTACCTTGACTCATATTGTCAATCATTGCTTCACCTCCTCTTGTTTCGCTGATGCATGGAATGTTCCAACTGTGATTCCGGTAGCTAAAAATAAATTTTCATGTAGTCCTTAGGATTTTCGTCCTATTAGTATCTTGCCAGTCTTGTCTAAAGTACTTGAGTCTTTGATGTCTGAACAAATATATGCCCATCTTGAGAAATTTAGGTTCTTGTCCCCGTTCCAGTCCGAATTTAGAGCTAGACACAGTTGTTCCACGGCTATGATTCAAATACTTGACGACATTCGGATATCCTTTGATAAAAACCACCTGACACTATTATGCCTTTTGGATTTCTCCAAAGCTTTCAACTCAGTTAGCCATGAACTACTATGCCTCAAACTCAAAAACTATTTTGGGTTTAGTGACTTTGCCGTGCAGTTAATGAAGAGCTATCTGTCTGATCGAACCCAGAGAGTAAAAGTTGGTGCTGAAGTATCTAAACTAAAACCACTATTAACGGGTGTACCCCAAGGATCTATTTTAGGGCCATTGCTATTTAGTTTGTTTATTAATGACATTTTCAGTACTCGCCAATATGCAAAAATGCATGCTTACGCGGACGACATACAGATTTATTTGTCAGGAACTTTTGAAGACATGGCTAACTTGTGCGCTAATTTCAACAGGGAATTAATGTCTATACCGTCTTGGTCTTCGAAAAATGGTCTTTGTCTAAACTGTGATAAATCCTTAAATTTGATATTATTCCGTCCTTGTACATTGGTGATAAGTCTCTTGGTGCTATTGTAGAATTGCCCTTCACTGGTGACACTATTAAAAATTATTTACAACAAGTCACTTGCCTCAGGAGTCTTTGCTGATGCATGGAAATTTACTTCGGTCACTCCTGTTTTCAAAAACGGTAATAAATGTGATGTCTGTAATTATGGGCCGATCTCGAAGTTGTCGACTGTTTCGAAACTATTTGAGAGTTTTATGAAAGAAAAACTGTTTTTCAACATTAAGCAACTTGTTTGTCCAAATCAGCATGGTTTTGTCTCTGGAAAGTCTACCATTACTAATCTTGCGGTTTTTTCTGAATGGTCACCAAGTGGACACCATATATACGGACTTTTCCAAAGCATTTGACAGGATTTCCCACAAAATCCTTGTTGCTAAACTTGCCCATTTAGGTTTTCATTCAATGTTACTGCAGTGGATTCAGTCCTACTTAGTGGATAGGAAATTGACTGTTGTCCTAGATGGAGTGTGCTCGAAGTCATTTATATAAACTTCGGGGGTTCCCCAAGGGAGCATTCTTGGCCCATTATTCTTTGTTTTGTTTATTGATGACATTAAGTATTGCTTCTCTTCGGCTAACTACCTTTTGTATGCTGATGACTTGAAAATTTACTCAGTGATTAAAAGTCTTAATGATTCATATGTCCTTCAAGCTGAGCATGATATGGTGCACTCTTGGTGCGTTAAAAACAGACTATTTCTTAATATAAAAAAATGTCACAAGAATACTTTTAGTAAACTCCATAAGCCCTTGCTCACATCATACCGTATTTCAAACTCGGTTTTAGATCAGGTTAATGAAGTAAAGGATCTAGGTGTTTTCTTTGATGCTAGACTTACGTTCCAAACTCATGTTAACTACATCATTGCAAATTCCTTTGCTATGCTCGCGTTTGTGCGCCGAATCAGTAGTCAATTTCGTGACCCATATATTCTCAAGGTTCTGTATACTGCTTTTATCCAGTCGAAAGTGGAATACAGGGCGTTTATTTGGAGACCATATCACCAAAACAACATTAATAGCCTAGAATCTGTTCAGAAAGGTTTTGTAAGATACGCTTTGCGTTTTATTGACTTTGCAGAACCAAAATCGTCATATTTATCGCGCCGTCAATTAATTAACCTCATGGCACTGCACAACAGACGATTGTTTTTATCTGTTTCTTTTATCGCAGACATTATCTCAGGCAAAATTGATTGCCCTGCTTAGCTCGAAAGAATAAATTTCCATGTTCCTAGTAGAAATTTGAGAAGAGCTGCTATTTTTAACGTAAGCTTTAGTAAAACTGTTTATTGCATGAATGCAATGAGAACACTCACCGATTTTAATATGCTTGCAAGTTCTTTAGGCTTAGATTTCTCAATACCAAGGTCTACTTTTCGAAATGAAATCATTCTTTATCTTTGTAATAATCCTCTTTAATCTTTAATCATATTGTAAATTTATATAATAATTTTAAGATACTTTATGACTCTTGTTGTTAATAGTCTGTGTTTGATTAGACTAACTAAATAAATAAATTTGTTTCTAAAGTGACTAATCTTAGTTTTGTTATTAACCCTAACCTAACATGCAGTGATCATGTTAACTCTGTCGTATACAGTGCTCTTTTACTCCGTTAATCGTTAGACGTAAACTGGCCATTCAATTAATATTGCCAATTATCTGCTATTCGGAGCTAGTCTACAGCAGTCCAGATTCCCAATCTTCCCATAAAATTGATGTAGTATTCAATCATGTTACTCGATATGTTTTTGGGCTATCGAAATTTGAGCGAATATCCGATTGCAAATGACGACTGTTGGGCTGCAGTATCTCTGAATACCTAAAAGCAAGAAATTGTATTTTTTTATTTCGCCTAATGATGGATAAAGACCCTAGATATCTATACGAAAAATTATCCTTCTCAAAGTCTGCACGCCTTACTGATTATACCTAGGTACCATTATCTAGCATTTGGAAGACTATTTTTCGTCAATGCTATGTTTTAGATATAGGCTAATTGAAAATTATATGTCGTTCTTTTTCTTTTTAATTTTGATTTATTTATTAACTTTTTTTATATTTTTTTATTTTTTCTTCCTCTCTTGGTTTTATATAGATTTGTAAGTTTTGCCTAATGCTATTTGTCAGGCTTTGTTTGACATGATGTACTATGCACTTTTTATTCTCAACTCTTATTCTTGTCTTAATTTTAAGTTACCGTTGTACTAAAAAAAGATCTTTGGGATCTTATTGTACTAATTTTCTTTATAATTATAAATGAAATGAAAATGAAATTAACAGTGAGATCATCCGCACCTTCACCAGCATTGGATTTCAGCTGCCTCGGCACCCGCGTTACCCTGGCACACAAATACGGCCTCCAGACCGTAGTAGACTTAATCCTACAACTTCTGGCAAGTGAAGTTCTCCGCATGACACTAACCGCCTCTTCAAATGCGAAAATCACCTCTACTTACACCTCTCCGCCTTTTGGGCGACACCGTAGGAGCAGCACGTTTCCTGTGCCTACCGTTAGTTGTGCTTGACAACAACGCTTGAGAGACTAGCTTATTTAGGCAAGGTTAAATAGCGCACGAGAAAAACAATACAAAGCAACTTAGAGCATTTCATATTTTTTAATTGATAATTGAATTGGGGTGTGCGATTATATCCTTTGATCGTTTAGGCTTCAGGTAACCGAACTGGATGTACCGTTATTTTACCTCTGGTTTATGCTAAATCGTCGATAGAAAAAGTTGATTGCGAATTGTTTTTCGGTTGTTTTGTTTGTCTTTATTTCCAATTGATATTTGCTTACGTTGAAGATCAATAGATACACGAATACCACTATACCCACTTACATTTTTATTTAGTTTTAACACCATCACTTTCTTTCTTGCGTTCTTCACGGATGCGTTTAAATGCTTCCGTTTTAACAAAATCTACCGAATTATAAACCACGCCGCTTTTCAAAGAGTTCAAAGTTAATGGATCGACCTTAACTGATTCCTGCTTTGTCAAATTATTTGTACTTATGCTCTGACGATTTGCGTTTGGTGGATTAGCTACATCTAAATCAAAATATTGAAGTTGATGTTCATTTCCTGAACTTTGTCTTAAGTTAGGTAACGTTTGATGATCTGCACTATTTGTAGATTCTAAACGTTGATGCAAAACTGAAGTGTCAATGGTTCCAACGTGAAGTGTTTAAAAAGCACACTGTGTGCCGTGGAGTTAGCTCGAATATCTTATTTTTCAGTCGATAAACGTAATTTTGAAATTTTAAAATTACTACGGTGTATTTTTGTCAAAAACATATGACTCAAAACATTTGGTTTATAAAAATATAATTGAGTAGTCCACTTGCAAACAGCGTTATGTGATTTTATAATAGTAAGCCATAAATTAAAAAAAACGTCTACAACAACAAGTAACATCCAAATTGTACATTTCTTTTTATTATCTGAAAATTTGGATAAATAAGAGCCTAATAACATTAAAAATCAAAATGCAGTGTGGTAGTTTTTGCAAATTTTATATATAGAAATTAAATATAGCGAGTTTTTAAACAGTAAGTTTTATATAGCCAGCTTTTTTAAGCTTTTCGCGTTCTCTCTTCCATGAAGGTTAGACTGCCTCTTTTTTAAGACGTCTTCCACTAGACACCGAAACTACCACGTTTTCTTGCAGTTTTCTAAGTTCATCAGAAGATGGAGACTTTTGAACTTGTATAAATACGTACAATAAATATTATAGCGAATTTTGAAAGTGTATATATACATTAGGGCGGGTCGAAAATCTAATTTTTCTCAAATCCCTTGGTAATAGTGAAAATATATTGTATCATGAAGTGAACAACAAGCCTGCAAAATATTAGTCTTTTATTTTAATTGTAAGAGCCCGCGCATCGACCGCCAAGTGACCCACAGCACACTAGTCGAATAAGACCAATTCTTGTTAAAAATTCTGGGTTCAGCAAAAAGGTTTGGTGCATATTTTTAGATAATGAATCCGTTAACGCAGAAGATAAAGTCAAATATCATTTCTCGCAGCCCTTTAGCTTATGCTTAATCTCAAAGGTATCTGTTTTCAATAAAATTTTATTGTTCTCTTGATAATTGCACTGGTCTATAGTCGAACGATGTAAAGAACAGCTTTAATATTGCTGGCGTTCATTTAGGTCGCTGGTTCCAAATATTCTAATCTTGTTTTAATATTAGCTATAGTTTGCGAATTTTTGCAAATTTAGGAACAATTTCGGTAACTCTAATAGAAAAGCCATTATTTTCCATCATCGTGGAAAAATTTTGTTTATGCAAATGAGTATGGAAACACTGAACAGGCACAACTTCTAGAAACACTAATTAGTTTACATATGTTTATGCATACCATAGAAAAATTGTAAATGTAGGAAAATTAAAATTTTTTTTACATTTTTTGTTTTTATTTTAAAATAATTTGTTTATAATCTGAACGATTTTCATCATATTATTATCATAAATCAGTAACAGTAAGTCTCGCCTTCAATTTGGTAATTATTACGTACCGATCGAGTAACATTTACCAAAGTTATATAGAAAAACTTAAGCTTTTTTTTCTAAAAAAATTTCTCTTCAATTGTATAAATAACCTTTAAATGAAAGAACCGGATTGCAGAAAAGTGTGCCAGCCAGGGAGTGACTTTTTTCGTTCAAGCTGAATGCAAAGCAATATCGTCCAATTGGAGAGTCCTCAAAAGGATTTCCCCGGATATGTTAAAGACTATTGCATTTATCTACAGTCACTTTCTCACATAATGGAGTTAACTAAAATATTTTTGTATATCTAAACACTTATTGCCCCTCCCCTACCTTCATATAACGGCAAATTTAGAAACCGCGAAAAATGTGCTTCTTCGGTGACTAATGAAACCATTCCGCACCAATTTTCAAGACAACATAAATGGACTTAAAGTGTGCGTTTCTCACCCTAATTGTATTATGTTAATGTTTGTAAATACTTATATGCTTGAAACTACTATTAACTTATCAAACGATTCATAAACTTTGACAATACATGTTTGACTTCATTCACCACGATCTTGAAAACTGACCAAATCGGCGTGACCAAGCCCATGGTCCTTTTAATATTATATAAACATCCGAAAACATTAAAACGTTTGAAATAAATCGCGTCTCACTTTTTTGTATTTTTCACTTGGTTGCTGAAGTAATGAAGAATTGAAAATTCATAAGGGAAAATTATAGTTTTTGTAAGTTTTATCTTAATATCTTAAAAACTTGGAGACTTATTGAAAAATGATAAATGAACGTGAGGTACTAAATTTAATAGCCCTTAATTTGATATATCGTCCTGTTTATAACAATTGACGCATTCCATAGATATTACAAGCCAAAGTTTCATTTTCAAAATTCATACATTTTGATTCAATTGCGCGGGCTAAAGATACGTTTTAAATTAATCTTTCGTGGCCAATAACAATTGGCTTAGATATAAGACATCATAATATTACTATTACAATACGGTCAAATGCATTTTATTTTCCCCCATACAAAATCGACCCAGCCTAATATACATATAGTAATTATTATAGCGACTTTTGCTAGAGTAGCTTACATTTGATGCTATTGTTTTCAGAATATATAAGGATTTTGCACTGTATTGTTAGTGGAATAAATACTGGTTAAATACTGGTACGTTAACCACGAAAAACTAAAAATCGAAAAAAATTTACATAGCGCACTTTGCAAGTGGACTACTCAATTCATTTATAAACAATATATCAAATAATAAAATAAAATGTCTATCATCCTTGGGCGTACAAAATTTTTAATTCTTAATTCTTCGAAACAGAGTTGCGACACATTGCAACCATATATATACATTGCTTATTTTAAATATTCAATATAGCAATGGACAATTTTTCTAAATTTTCCATTTTTAAAACACCAATTGTAACCAATAACAAACGAAGCATTATCTTTGTTTCTGATGCGCTGATTGCTCTAGCGATGAGTTTCGATAACTTTTCGGATGCGTTTTGGAAAAGTATACATTGTCAATATTTTGTAGTTCGGCGTTATGGAACATTATACTTTGTACGTATGCAAAGCAATTGACGTTTTGGAAGTCAGCCTATTTAAACCCATAAAAAATCCTTGGTGTAAGCTGCCACTTAAGGCCATGCCAGATAAAACTTTGTGGTTTTGCGTGACATCTATAACTTTTCCAGCAAACCGCAAGACGCAAAAGGAATGCCACATCGAACGCCAAAGACAATTTTGTACGGATTTGCTACTGATGAAAATTGCTGTGGATTTTATATATGTATTTAGTTTTAAAAATATCAGCAATGTAATTAAATGTTATGTTTCTGCAAGAAAACTCGAATATGAAAGAAACCAAATAAAAATTAAACCAGCTGATGGTCAACGCACTCAAAAAGATGGGAGTTGACCATCTTTTCGCTTCGCACTGCAGCTAAAATAAACTATGTGGCATGCTTTGTGCATTTTCATACATTTAATCTTATTTGTCAAAGCGAAGAAAGCGTTTTATCTGGCAAGGCCTCTAATGATTTCGACGACAACGTGATGAAGACCTGAACTGGCCAAACAGGCAACAACTTATTTTACCTACCTTGACTCATATTGTCAATCATTGCTTCACCACCTGTTGTTTCCCTGATGCATGGAAGGTTGCAACTGTGATTCCGGTAGCTAAAAATAAATTTGCATGTAGTGATTTTCGTCCTATTAGTATCTTGCCTGTCTTGTCTAAAGTACTTGAGTCTTTGATGTGTGTACAAATATATGCCCATCTTGAGAAATTTAGGTTCTTGTCCCCGTTCCAGTCCGAATTTAGAGCTAGACACAGTTGTTCCACAGCTATGATTCAAATACTTGACGACATTCGGATATCTTCTGATAAAAACCACCTGACACTATTATGCCTTTTGGATTTCTCCAAAGCTTTCAACTCAGTTAGTCATGAACTACTATGCCTCACTTTTTTTATATTTATTTTTCATTTTTCTTCCTCTCTTGGTTTTATATAGATTTGTCAATTTTGCCTAATGCTATTTGTCAGGCTTTGTTTGACATGATGTACTATGCACTTTTTATTCTCGACCGTTATTCTTGTCTTAATTTTAAGTTACCGTTGTACTAAAAAAAGATCTTTGGGATCTTATTGTACTGATTTTCTTTATAATTATAAATTNTTTGTCAGGCTTTGTTTGACATGATGTACTATGCACTTTTTATTCTCGACCGTTATTCTTGTCTTAATTTTAAGTTACCGTTGTACTAAAAAAAGATCTTTGGGATCTTATTGTACTGATTTTCTTTATAATTATAAATTAAATGAAATTAACAGTGAGATCATCCGCACCTTCACCAGCATTGGATTTCAGCTGCCTCGGCACCCGCGTTACCCTGGCACACAATTACGGCCTCCAGACCGTAGTAGACTTAATCCTACAACTTCTGGCAAGTGAAGTTCTCCGCATGACACTAATAGGGGAAATTCGCGTTGGTCGAGAAATCCGAGGTTGGTTAAGGATTTCACTCTTGGTATTGTGATTCCACTTCCGGAACAATTTCATGCTAAGTAATTGAAATTTTTTTCTGATATGAAGCTGGCCATTTCTAATAGATTTTGTCGCTGAATTCGTATCTGAAAAATATGAACAACATTTTAGAATACATCTCTTGTCCTTTCACAAGCCGCAAGGTGTGCTTTTTGAACACTGCATGCGAATTAATCGTAGCGCTCTCGACAGAAGTAGCACTTTGATACGAAACAAAATGGTTTTAACAGCTAAGCTTTCAATTGTGGACATTTAGGCACAACTAGCCCTTGACTTTAAAAAAATTGGTAAAAAAAAACATGCAAAATAAACGGGATTTATTCCTAAACAAAACATTTATGTGTTTCTTATTATACTAGTATTATAGATTTTGAGACGAGCAACACGATTCCACTGTTCAAAACTGAAAAAAAAACACCTTGTTTATAACTTGGCTCTCAGAGGGCCTAGAGACTCCTACCTGGGCTTGGATGCACAGCTGTATGCAAATCATAAAAAATGTAATATATAATGCGTTTTTCAAATCAGTGATGGGCAAAATTGTATTTACCAAGTATTAAGTACTAAGTACAAAAGTATTTAGGTACACTCTAAAAAGT